CATTAGGCAATCTCATACGTGCATTTTTACCAACAGTTTAAACCACACTGATGTTTCAGTTTACTCACTTCAGTCAGATCATAAGAACTTTGTTAACACTGGACTAGAATGCCAACACTAGTTCAGCTGAACCAGCAGCTATTTTTTTCAATACAGACAAGGCCACAGCAGAGACATAAAACCCTCCCTGCTGGGTTAAGAAAAGCTCTCAGCTAAACTTGACTCTTTATCTAAACGTACGGGCGGAAGAAAGTGCATTTCAAGAATTACCTGGACAGGGAAGACTGCAAGATTTGATCTATGGTTCCTGAAACAGAATGGGTCAGGGAATTGAAATGGTCCCCAAATACAACTCAGTTGTGTTTAATGCTGGTTAAGGTGCAGCTCATTATCCATAAGGATAACATCTTCCACAAAATAGACAAGGTATGCATTCAATTGGTTCTGTGCATCAATATACCATTCTTCCTCTGGACACAAGAAATCCTGCAACAGCTCTAATGCAAGGGGCTGATTCATCCCCAGAAGCAGCCCCTTTTCATGCTCACTGGTTATGCTTTGACTGTACCATAAAAAAAAGCAGCAGGGTTTGCAGTTTTAACAGGAAATAAATGAAAACTAAAAAACAAATCACCACCACAGTCAAGCTGAGGATTAAAAAGTAACTACACACTGCCCTCTGGCTCATGCATTGCTACCACAGAGAGCTTGCTTGTAAGCATCACTGCAGGGTGCTGGGACTGAGAAGAGATCAGTTATCAAAAGTTCTCCTTTGATAGTTAGTACTTGCAGGCAAAATTAATTCCTACATCACCTGATGGAGGAGCTGGCCAACTTTAGAGATGGAAGAATCCAGACAGACTGCAGTCTTGCCCCAATCCATCAGGGAGTAACAGCAGTAGTGCCACAACTAACTCAACAAGTATTAAAATCATTTTTGAAGATGTTCACACAAAGATAAAGGGTGTTAAATAAGCAACAAATTTCTCTGGTGAGCAAGCTGTAGCCCCCAGCAAGGCATGCCATTCATGCAGTAGACTAATACACTGAAAAGAAAAAGTCTGCTGTTTACAGTGTGTAAGCCCACAATTTTTACTGACAAAGTGTTGCGGACTGACAGTCCTACATTGCTTCACTGCATTTCAATGCACTGTAGTGCCTTACAGTGAAGCTTCACTTTGCTATAATTGGGTTCAACTGTGCTAATCCCCTTGGAATGCAGCAATTAATACTTATTTAGTGATAATTGCTGCATTCCAAGAGGATTAGTCCCTGCCCTGCACTTTTGCCAGCATTGCAAATGGAGAGCTGGAAAGAAGACAGGGTCTAACTACAAGTCTTGCTTTGCAGCTCCCAACAGGGAGACAAGAGAAGTTGGTCTTGCTACAACTGCTCCCCTCTGTGCGTGAAAATACCACTTTTCCAAGGAAAAACTGCTTGACTGACACTTCTTGCAGCTGCATTGTGCAAATAGAAACCCTGCCACATCCAACAAGAAAAAAAGAAACAAACCAAAAAAACCCACCCCAAACCAAGACACCTGCACAGCACCATAAAGACAAACATGGCCACGAACGTATGTTTCCTATGGGAGATGATAAACAGGCCCTGATGCAGTGTAAGAACGAATTCCTATTCATTATGTGGGGGGGGTTGTGACTAGCAGTTCCCTGTTTCCGCTATGGTCTTAAAAATTTCAGTGCAACATGGGTTTTGGAAAGCTATAAAGATGATGTTAGTAGAAAGTTAAAATGCATCTTCTCTGAATGCTCAGTTTTGAGAACACTGAATCTGTAATGTCCAATTTTTTCCTCCCCAGTGAAGCCTTTATGATCTCTGAATTATTTTTTTTTAATGCACTGAAGAGACCACTGCTTATGTCATATCTTAAGAAGGAAGCACAATGCTTCTTTTCCTTTAAGCAAGTCAAGCTACTCTCTCTCACATCATTAACATTTTCACCTGTTAATTGCAGGTGAATTTCCCTGATTACATTACAGCATATGTACAAAAATTCTGGGACTTTACCACTAAACACACCTTCTGGAAATGCTATTTTTAATTATACAGCACCTTCGGTATTTTCTTGCTTGGTGTACAGACTATAATTGATCAGTAAGGTTATGCCTTTCATGAATATAACAGTAATGTGAAGCCAGATTTTAAGACCTGTGACAAGTATCTCCATTTCCTTTACTTTCTTCCTCTCTTCACCCCTAACACATACCTCTTCTGCATTTTTCAAATGCTCATCTGGGGGAAAACTTAATTAAATGAACTGAAATTCATATAAGCATTTAAATCAAAAATCCAATTCATGCTTGATTAGGCACCCATTTTTTGTTAAATGACAACAGGAAAGAACTACACAAGGTTCTTACAATCATATACTGCAGGTTTTGTGCAATTATTTCTCTCTTATCTTTAAAGAATTGCTTCACTTCAATCTAGAAACAGTTACTTTTTAATAATGGGTGATGTTTAATAGGTTCCATTGGCATAAAAAATTATAGAAACACAAATTATCTTCACTGTTTTCCCATAAATATGTATGCTTACATATGCAATTACATACATACTACTCAGTATTTCTTGAAAGTCTTGTCTTTCTCCATGTTTGCACACACATACACACACCCCCTGCATGGCTTTGTCAACTTACTCTATGTTTGTAGCAACCAGAAGTCATCTTGTTTTTAAAAAAAAATTCCTCTCATCTAAAGGTACTGAGATGTTTCACCAGTATTTTACATGAATCCTGCAAACTGGTATCTATGTTTTTCTAGATAAGGGGTGGGGTGGGGGGAAGTAAGGGTGCAAAACAAGTAAGGTTGTAACCCAAGTCAGTGGCAGTAGCGAAAATAACGTGAAGGAGTTCTAGACCTGTATGGGTACACTGACTCCCCTTTCTCAACAAGACCTGCAACAGTTGTTGGATCTACCACCGTAAGTGTACCATCTCTTCTGTTTAAACTGGAGAAATTATATGCAAAAGTAAGCCTAACAGCTGCAGGAATCAGAAGCAAATGGCAATGGAGAATTGTTAAGGCTTTTCTATCTAGGATATGAAGAGCTAGAGAAAAAAATAATTCAGAAAAATCACCATAGTTATTAGGTTCTTTGATTAAGAAAGCATCCACTAAATAATACCAAATTTCATCACTTCAGATACTAACTGCATACCTGGCGTCAGTCAGCCAGAAGACTCCAGGCAGCTCTGCAACCAGCACAATTAAGGACGCTCAAATTTTTAAAAAGCACACCTTTTGTACCTTTAATATACATGAACAGGGTTTTGTTTGCTCTCTTAAGCTCCTAATTGTCATGACATATATAGGACCTTTGTGGCTTCAAGGTCAGGCTACCTGTTTCAAATCTAAATCCAACCGAGTAAAAAAAAAAAATCTGACAAAAGCAAGCGTCCATACAACATGTTACATAAGCCTTGTTTCCGTAGAAAACCAGGCTATGAAGAACATTAACTACTACAGCCAGAACAAATGAGTCTTAACACTCTAATCTTATTACACTACAATAATCAACATAGAAACTCTGAGGAAGCCTCTAGACACAAAAGTTCTTAAGTCAAAAAGCCCTGGGAGCAACTCAAGGACTGAGCTTCCCAGCAAGGAAAATAGAATTGTTGGGGAGCACCAAGGGCCAGCTGCTCCACCAGAGCAGGGGAGCTGGCAGGGTCAGCAGGGCAGCGGCCTCACCACCAAGATACATGGTCCCACAAGAGGAGCAGACTGGGAGACAGCAACCAGGGTCAACCACAGTTGAGGCAGGATTGAGGTCAAGTCAGTGGGACCAGGCAAGCAGCAAGAGCCTGAGCTCTATCACAGCCCCCAGGCAAACAGGAGAAACTTCGAAGCAGGCTTCTCCCAGCTGTGCTTCACCACCCGAACACCTGCACACTGCCAGGGCTGGCCTCCAGCACAGGCAGCCCAAACCACCGGAGAGGGGCTTGCGGGCACTCAAACAATCCAAGTTCAACAAGATTAATTAGCTGTTGGAAATCACAAATCAGAATCAGGTGGTTTCATTGAGCTAACAAGAAGTCTAAGCCAAAGCATCCGCACTTTGGGTTCTTACAGTTTGTAAGTACTGAGAGAAATAAACACTATCGAGTCTGGAGGTGACTGCTCCCAGTTGATGTTCTGAGGCATTCTATACCTGCCTCCATTTCCTTTACTAGAGTTTCTTAATTTAAAAACCTTTAAATCATTTTCATGGATATTACTTCTGAGCACTCTATAGCACAAAATGATTACAAAACACAAAAAGATGATGAATGCTTCTCTTTTAGCAGCTAGCACGCTGCTGTGTTTATGAAGGAAAGCATTCATAATGTAAAGCACTGTAGAAGAAGAATTTGTTCTTATCATGCCCCCCTGTCGTATGCTTTTCCAGCATCTTTGAGTTACGATGAATGAATTCAATAACCAATTTTAAGTATTAAGCAGGTAGCAATCACCACGAATGTAAGTCTATGGCTCCCTCTTGTGTTCAACAATAATATAACAGTTTATCTGATTTTTACTCTAGATTCAGTGTGCTATTATTCAGGAAAAACCTGTTGAAAACAAATTCATCCATTAAGATATGATTAATACTTTTTTGCAATAATCTAATACTCTGATTGAGCTACCTCTATTTTATTGTGAAGATCACAGATACAACATTAAATAGGTGAGAAATTAGATAGAACTGAATAAAGAATTAAACAAATACCTGATATACATAAGCTCTAATCTGTAATGATGTAGCATGTCACAAGAATCTACCTGGCACAAGTTTTACATTAAAACACAAGAAATAAATTGAAAATCAAGGAGTAGAAACAAAAATCTCTCAACAAGCAAGATTAGTAGACAAAGTAGACACGACCATATGGTTAAGAGAGACAGGCTGACATTATCCTAATTAAGATTCCCAGCTAACAAACATCCTGTGACTTAATGAGGTGCCTAAGGTTATCCTGTGTCTCAGATTCTTACCTATGACTGGAGATACTTAACTTCCTGGGTATGGAGAATGACTTCATTACTATTTAGAATATGCTCAGATACATCAAGCATGCCATGGTAGAGGACACACAGAAGTCAAAATGCTGATTCATTGTTTACAGCTGCATTAATTTCTTATACTTGGCCTCTTCTATTCGAAGCCACAATATTACTTCTGGATATTAGGAAAAAAGGAAACATGCTCACAAGCGAATTCCTGAATGAGCCTAATACAACAAAGGTGAGCACAGGAAGACGAAAAGGTGGTAAAGAAAAATGGGACAAAAGCTGATGACTTTCTTGAGTTAGTGATATTAACATTTACATACCTATTACTAAGGGAGAAAAACAGAGAGATATTTAGTATGATTGACACCCCAGTCTGCTTTACATTCCATTTCTACGTACAAAATCTCTTTATTCATGTGTTCAATGAGATGCATAGATACAACTCCTCCAGATAGTTCTCTGATTAACCTTCAAATCCAGCTCTGTACATGTAGCTTAACCATTCTGTTTTTCACCACTTTGCAAAAGAACTATCTGGCTGGGGTTCTCTCAAACTTTAAATGTAAAGAGATTTGGATGATCTAAGATTGTTCCAATAAAATGCAGTAGTATTACAAAACTGTTTAAGATGAATTGTTACCAAAAAAAGCCCTTCCACTCAGAATCAGAAAGATTTGGGAATTGGTACTAACGGGAACATCAAATCCAACAAGACCAGAAACAAAACAAAACAGGCTTTGTTCTGTACCAAACTCTCAAATGAAACTGATTCTTTTAAAGGTCTTATACTGGTTTTGGCTGGGATAGAGTTAACTTTTTTCATAGTAGTTTGTTTGGGGCTATGTTTTGGATTTGTGTTGAAAAGTTGATAATGCTGAGATGTTTTTGTTACTGCTGAGCCGTGCATACACAGAGCCAAGGCCTTCTCTGCTTCTCCCCCCACCCCACCAGCGAGGAGGCTGGGGGGGCACAAGGAGTTGGGAGGGGACACAGCCGGGACAGCTGACCCCGACTGACCAAAGGGACATTCCATACTATATGACATATGACCATATATGCCTAGCATATAAAACTATGGGAAGAAGAAGGAAAGGGGGGAGGGGGTCAGAGTTATTGCATTTGTCTTCTTAAGTCACCATTACGTGTGATGGAGTCCTGCTTTCCTGGAGATGGCTGAACACCTGCCTGCCGATGATATAGTCATTTAGAAATGCAGAAGCTCTAGCCAGAACAAATAATCAAATAAGGCTTCTTTGTATCAATTTTCACAAACTCCACTGTTATTACTTTATGTTCCATTTCACACTACTAGATGCAGAAAAGAAAGTGAAACACGAAGATGCTTATTTCATCCAAGGAGGGAAAGCCAGGTGTAAAAGGGTGTTTCACCTTTTACTCTAGCAAGCATGAAAGACTCCAGAGCAACAATAAATCAAGAACTCTGAAGAGAGGTGCTCATGTGAAAGACAGCGTGAGGGAGAGGACTATTCTTGAAGATGCAATAAAAAACACTTGACACCACTAGTCAAAAAGTATTTTAATTTTAACAAAAACCCAGCATCATCAGTCTCACACATAACTACTTATGGAGTGACATGTAATGCATTCAGGTGTCCCTATGGTAAGAATCAAGTCCATACCAGAGGATCATTTGAGTTTCCACAATTGTTATGCCTTATATAAAAATATTTTCCAATTTCATATTTAATGTCAGTGTTATCTGTTCGACATAAATTGCTTCCATATTGTAAGTTTTTTTAATCCTAAATTAATTTTCAAATAGTAGAACAGAATGGGTTTGCTACAGTAACAAGCACCTTTTTGCCCCTTGCGGAGAAGGAAAACTTAGTAAGCTATGTCAAAAATACTTTTACAAATCATTCCAGTATTTGAGAAAAGTAGTGATATAATAATGACATTAAGATGTAGAGAAGATTTGATATGATGAATTCCACTGTTCTATATATGGATCTGCCTCTAAGGAGTCTAAATTCTCACATTCTTTACTCTGTCAATGAAGTAATATTTGCTCACTGTAAAAATCAACTTAACTGCTCATAATAACTTTTGGATATTTGTGAACTCAGCACATGGGAGATGAGAAGATATAAAAAGGCATTTATTTCTTGCTGTTGTGTGTGGCTTATTTTAACAGAGAATTAATTATGCACACCTTTCATTAATTTTCATTTTCTACAAGTCATGAATCATCTGTGTCATACTGTATTGCTTCTTTCTCACTTCTGGATAACTAACCCAAAATTGCTGTGTAAGGCTTCCAAAACCAAAAATCTGCTCAGTTCTACTGTTAAGAGTAATAAAAGCTGATACATTGCCATTTGATCAGACTAACAAAGCTGAAGATTTCAAGATCCTAATCAGAAAACATTTACCCTTTACAACATTCTCACTGAATTTACAAGCCACTACTCTTCTTATACTAAAGCCAGATACTTCAGTTATTACCACCCTCCTTCTATTAAAGAGTCAGGGCATATAACCACTGCCAGCTGAAGAGTTACCAAGAACTTATCGTGAGGTATGCGTACAGTTTACATAAACACAGTTGTATTCTATAGCACATTCAATATAGGTAGCAAAATAGAAAAACGGCTCAAATGAGTGGGTGTATTAGCGTGCAAAGAAAATTCTTAACAGAATTTGGGAACTCAGCATATCATTTGCCATCATAATACAAGCAATGCTTTCCATTCCATAGTCAGCTGAGCCATCCTGTAGTACTTTGCCATAAAGATCTAAACTAAACTGGTATTAAAAATAAAATAAAATTGGAGAGTGATCACAAACAGATATTACTTAACAAAGGCATTGAAAGGTTTAGAAATGGACTAATCCTTTAGTTTCCAGTAAACACAGCGTTTCTGAATGCAGACTGTCAACAGACAGACATCTTTCCAGAATCATGTCCAATGAATAAAATTTAGTTATGGCTTATGCACAAAGGTTTTTGAGTATGACATGATTCAAGCTGTGCTAGTTAGTGAGAATTTACATTTGCTTCAGAAGGGTTACACAAGCTCATTAACAATGCAAAGTGTTTGACTTTTTGCATTATTAATTCAGCTCTACAATACATAGAAAAAAATAAATCTTTCATGAAACAGCCAAAGTAATTCATTTGTGTATCAGCATCACCAAGGATCTTCTTCCACCTACAAGGAGTAAGAATAAGAGTGAAATTGAATGTGTGTTGACTGCGCTAAAACATATTTGAAAGTTTTGAAGACTTAGTTTTATGTAGATGATAGAACACAATTTCTCTATACTTCAATATCATAATGGTAAGATTCAAAAGCAACTTTGTTTTGAAAATATTGAGCAATGTTGCTGCAATCTCATTAATACAGCTTCACAAATGCTGAATAGTCTCACTACATTTAACTATTAGACCAAAACATCATCTGTCTTGCAATTAATTCAAACAGAGGACAGTGACTGTGCCCACTCTATAGAAGTCTTTCCTCCCAAGAAACTGTATTTAAGCTGAGGTACAAGTGCAGTAAACCATAGATAGTTCTATAGATACTATACTTCATATTGTTAAATAGGGGGATCCCTTAAGAAAACATATCTTATGATTTCAGACACTGCATCCAGTAGACTACTTAGGGAAAAGACATAACTGCATATTAAAAAAAAACAGAGACAGGTAATATATACTGCTAACAGTAAGGTGAAGTTTTACAGGTTCCAAATATAATGAGAGTTAAGCATGCAAAACTTAAGCACTTACTAAGGCTTGACGCTGTAATATTCTTCTGGGGTCACAATCTTCAATCCACCAAAGTAGTCCAGGACCCAAATATTGGTAATGTTGAATTTGGCAAAGAACCAGTTATGATCCTTAGGCCAACTTTCCATTTCAGGGTGGCGACTGAATAAAGCTTTTTTTGCTAAGCCTGCTTCTGAATCATTCACCTAAACAAACCAGCAAAACGTTACAGTAAGATACAGTCATACGATGAAAAATTTTAGCTAAAAACCCCCACTACTGTCTGCACTGTGCTTTTTGCAGCTTAGCCACGTCTTGTCCCAAAGGACTCATTACTGTGGCAGAGTCCACTCATCTTCAGTGTGGTATACAACTGTACATGAGAGACAAAAAACTCCAAGGCAGTTGATTTTAGTATTAAACCAAAAGGGTGCTTTTAAAGTAAGCATGAGCAAGCAAGTACTTCACCAACATAGAATAAATCTTTCAACAAATCACAAAACAGCTAAGTATGGATTCTTTCTGAAGTATTACAGTGCAATGTTTTAGGTGTAATTTTACCTTCTCTGCACCTGCTCACTCAAACAGACACAAACAGATCCAACCCTGTTCAGGCGTATGCAAACGCATGCATACACACACACATACACACACGCATACCCACACACAAATAGGATGATATAACAGAATCCACAGAGAAGGGAAACTGAAATGTGTGACAGCACTTAATATACAATGTTTAAAGGGTTAAATCAACAAGTCAGAGCTCTGGGTATGGTATAAGAGGAACTAATTAAAATAAACAATTCCATTATTGATGAGAAACTCATGAAAGCAATTGAAGGATTGCTGGTGTGTAATGCACAAATATCTGAGGTGTGAAACACCAAATAAGAATTCAGGCTATCATATAAGAGAGAGTAATGATGATTAGTCCTCACCCTCAATCATTACCCTCAATAATGGGATCAAGATCTTCAATGAATAACACATGCAGTTCTAAATTCCTTCTATGGGACACCAAAGTACTGGTGCACAAAAGAATACCGCCATGGCAGCAACACCACCAGATAATACAGTGCACTTTTTCTGTCTCTAATACCTGTAACTTTATAGCTCAGGTTAATATTTACTTCTATAAAGTTCTGGAAATGCATATGTCACACCGCACGGACCAAAGAATTTAACTAAGCAAAAGAGATGGAAAAACCTTCATGCTTCATTCACAAGAGAATTGTCTTAGACTTCATAGTTTCAAAACAAGTCTAGAGGAAGGAGGGGAGACTTCTTCCTTCATTATAATATTGTCCTCCCAAGTTCCTTGCTAAAGACATGCAAATATGAAGTGGTATCTTCATTTTCCTCACACAAACTATGAGCTAGCCTTCTGGTATCATGGCACATAACATCTCTTCGTATACTTTCACACAGGAATTCTAACCTTTCTCTTCTCCATCCGCTAAACAATACTATTTGATGCACACAATCTTGTCCAGTTGTCAAGCTTCAGCTGCTTACCTTCACAATACTCCCACAGAAGATTATGTGGGCACAGAGGGGATTCTGGGGATCATATCTGTGCTTCTTGCAGTAAGGAGTCTGTGCCAAAGACACAGTTAAGGATGCATTTGAATTGATCTGAAATGCAAGTAGTAAGATAAGAGGTTTACATACTTTTGCGAGAAAAATGTCATACCCACCATATTTTCAGCTCTTGGTACTTTATTCAGCTAAGTATTACTGGTAAAAAGAACAAACCTGTCATCATCTTCTCCTAACTATATTTGAAGGCCTACTTAGACAAGCTCTGATTCTGAAAGAAAGCCCAGTTTAGAAGTGTGCTGAATTTTCTTAGCATAAAATGGAAACCTCACAAAACAGCACTCCTTAAAACTCTGAATTCAATATACAGTTGTCCCAGTTTTGGCTGGAATAGAGTTAATTTTCCTTCTAGTAGCTGGTATAGTGTTAAGTTCTGGATTTAGGATGAGAAGAATGTTTATCACATGCTGATGTTTTCAATTGTTGCTAAGTAGTGTTTAGACTAAGTCAAGGATTGTTCAGCTTCTCATGCCCAGCCAGCAAGAGGGCTGGAGGGGCACAAGCAGTT